TGTACAAATGCGCTTTACACAATTGATGTGTGTATGGATTGCGATAACAGTTGTATGAGCCCCTAATAAAATGTTTTAAAATATATATATATATATAAAAAGAAACAGACTTGGATGGTTACTTGGGGAGGGGAAGAAATACCGCTAAGTCATAGGTTCCCAATATTATTTGACTCCCTAAAAAAAATGACTCAGCACCTCCCTGGAAATCAAGACCTTTTGACTACAGTGCATCATTCAGGACAAAAGCCCCTTTGATGATCTCAGCACTGCCAGGGCGGCAGTGCCACCACTGGGAAAGACAGCCCAGGGAGATGGGGAGAGAGAGGGAAGAAACAGGGCAGGCGAGCCACTGGCAAGTTGGATACATTGTTGCACACAAATGGTTGATCTAATAAGACACCCCCCACCTCATTCACCATAAAAAATTGGGGGGGGAAACAAAACAAATGTAGCCTTCAGAATGCTTGCTTCAGCCCTGGGGAATGGTTTTTGAACGACTCGCTGTAACTACTAACAAGGCCTCGCTGGCATAGTGGTTACACCTTGGGCTGCTGACCGCAATCACATTGCTGTCAGGAGTTTGAAACCACCAGCAGCCCCACAGGAGAAAGACGAGGCTTTATACTGCTGCATGAAGAGCTACATTCTGAGAAACCCACAGGGGCAGTTCTACCCTGTCCTATAGGGTTGGTATGAGTCAGCATCGACTCCAGGGCAGTGAGTTTGGGGGTTTTAGTAACCGCTACCGCCTGTAAAGCACATGCCAACCCACTCCCTGCCGACTGAGATCACTCCATGGCCACCCCACCCCCTCCACTGCATCACCTCTCTCCCCCTCCAGGGGTGCTCTCTCACCACCCAGGATAGCCTCCAAGGTTTTAAATAGACAACTTAAAAAAAAAAAAAAATTTGAAAACTACAAGCGCCACCTGTGGCCCACCCCTCTCCAAATGTGAGGGGGCTTCTGAAGTTCCTGGAAACCCACATGAGTTTTTTCTGTGAACTTTATAAAGCCCCACCCCTTTTTCCTTCCCCTTACAGACCGGCCCTGCCACATTCTTGTGTGTTGGGAACCTGTTGGTCTGCAGGCTCTGCTGGCGCCTCCAGGTGATGGGCGCTGAGTATCTGTTTCTGAGAGACGCCTGACTTCCCAGTACGACACTTTCCTCACCGCAACCACGCTGAAGGTCGCCTGCCTTTTTGAAAAATTCACTTTAGTAGCAGCTCTGTTGAGATATAATCCCTACCTATAAAGTTTGCCATTTTAAACTGTGGACTCCGTGCCCCTTGATGCAGGCCACCGTCTAACTGCGAACACCCCGTTATCGCGGTTACGCTTTCAGTTGCTAAGCGCAAGGTCAGCAGTTCCAAACCACCAGCCGCTCTGTGGGAGAAAGAACAGTCTCAGACACCCACAGGGGCAGTTCCACCCTGTCCTTTAGGGCGCTCTGAGTCCGCCTGGAATGATGGCAGGGAGCTTTTTCGCCGCCCGAGTCCGTTTCCTGGCTGGTGGCCCTGGAAGGATCCCAGCCCCACCGATCCTTAGTTTATTCTACCAGGAAGCTGCTGCGCACGCCACTGTAGGGTGTAGGGATGGGTGAGGGGCTCTACCCACCCGTGGGCCACCCAGCGAGCCTGCACCCCATGACGTCCCCGCACCTCACAGCGTCCCCTCGCCCCTTGCTCGGGTCTCTGCACCCCCGTCGCCCGTCCCGCCGCCCCCAGGAAAGCGCGGCAAGTCTGATTCCACGTGAGCTGACAGCACGGCGGTGCGCGCATTTGGCGCTCCGGGGGCTCCGGGAGCGCAGCGCCGACAGAAGCGGTTTGCGA